GCCTCCATGGGACCTGGAACATGTGGTACTGAGGGAGGTCCTTGCATGGGCATGAACAAGATGGAGAGCCAAACATGGAGTCGGTGTTGTCTACACTCCTACGCACTGGGAACCTGACAGACTCATGGTGAGAGACACACATTTTCCAAATTTCTCATTTTTGCTAACAGCTTAAATTTTTTCATTGGCACAAATACTCTCAAGGGTTTTATTTGAAATGACAGGATTGCTTCTTCATTCATTTTCAAGATAATGCTTGCCATATATTCATCTGAATGAACAGTTTGATGTTTGTCCTCTCAAATGAAAATGGTCGCTAGTTCAGTTCACAACTCTCACAGTAGCACATGGGTTTTTCCTCAAAACCACCATCCTACTTCACTGTGGCCACAGGAACACTTTATGTGTACTTCTCATTTAGTCGCATTGATGCGTACTTAAAAAAAGATGTGTGCTTAAAAGTTGAGATGTAATAAAATTAACAATCTTTCCTGCTTTCTGGTGGGCACTTTTAAGGAGCGGCTGCCTTGATTCATGCTAAGGTGCCATCAGTTTTGTTCAAATTTTTTTTTTTTTTTTACCATCAGTGCAAATTTCAACACAGAGGAAAGGCAAATAGCCTCTAAATATTATTGAGTGAATAGTTTTCAATTGTGGAAAGGTATTGAAAAGGTCTTGAAAAGCCCCTTATAAAGGTCTTGAGCTATTTAGAGTCTCAGACCACATTTTGAAAAGTCTCATTCATCCTTATGTTTCACTTATATGAAGCTTAATTTACCCCTAGGAACTAATTTGCATGTCTCTCTCCCTTAGTGAACAGAATATTCTGATTTTTGCTCTTCAGTGTGAACATGAGTTATTGTATTGGCTTGTAATATACATAGTAACCATAGGGGTTGTGCAGGTGTTATTACACTAAGTCAAGCTTGTTGCTTAATAGTAATTCAGTTTGATGTGCAATCTCGATCTTCCTGTTAAGTACTAGCAGCTACCAACCCTGTCATTTCTAACCATTTTTCCTAGTTCTTAGAAAGTTCTGAGAATTGCAGGGGAAGTCAATTTACCACAATGAGTGTTTCTTCACTAGTTTAATTTGATAAATTCTCTCCTGAAGGTGCACCTGTGCTCTTCCTTAATAGCAAAGTTTCTGCTTGCTTAGTGATACATTTTCCTCTCTTCCCACTTGGAGGGTTGTATCTTGCTTACTTCTAGGGAAATCATTTTATTCTGGAGGCTTACGCTGCTGGACATCTATCTACTACATGGAAGGAATTACTGTATTGTATGTGTCCTATCATTTGAATGCCTGAGATTTTCTTAATTTCTAGGTCATCTTTGGAAGAAGAGTTGTCAGCTGATTTTGGAAGATTTTATTCATCTTTTAGCAATGACTTCCTGGCTCTAGGTCTATACAGCCTAAAGTGATACAGTGTGCCCAGCAAAACAGAGGACAAGTGAGATGGAAACTTAATTTTGAATTCATATGGTGGACAAATTAACCTGGCAACTGCAAAATCTGCTTTTTGCTAAATACTCTGTTGGTACTTGGGAAATGTGATCAAGTGTATGGAATGGTTTAAGTATACCTGACTAGAAATAAAAGTGGTCAAGACTCAATGTCACCTTGTAATTGTGGATCTTTATTTACTGTGTTTAGGTCTTTGTATATTACTCTAAAAAGTCTGTAACATCCATACTCCAGGAGATGTCACTCTTAAGGTTTCATAGTTAATGCTATAGTAATGCTTGCAAATTAATGCTTTAAAATTATTTGAGGTCATTTTTCTAGTGAAAAATCTTTTTGGGGAAAATGAATAGTCCAAGTGTTATTAAAAGTCAATGGAAATATAATTACCAATAATACCATGCATTCAAGCAGCCATTATTTTTAAAATCTTACATATTCTTGAAGATTTTGTCATGAATGCCTGATTAATTTTTATGTCTCCAACTATTTTTTTAAAAGATTTATCCATTCATTTGAGAGAGAAAGAGAGCGCATGCATGCATGTTCAGGGGAAGGGGAGTGGGTAGGGGGAGAGAATCTCCAGGAGAATCCCCACTGAGTGCGCAGCCCAACATGGGTCTCAATCCCAAGACCCTGAGATCACCACCTGAGCCAAAATCAAGAGTTGGACGCTCAACCGACTGAGCCATCCAGGCACCCGAATGCCTCTGACTATTTTTAAAAATAATTTTGTCCTTTATTGTTTGCTTTATTATTATTTATTGTTAATGAACTTTATTTTGTAGAATTGTTTTAGAATACAGAAAAGTTACAAAGGTAGTATAGAGGTTTCCCATATATTACATATCCTGTTTCCCCTGTTATTAATAGGATAATATTGGATTGAATAGTGGCCCCAAAGAGATATGTTCAAGTCCTAACCCACAGTACCTGTGAATGTTACCTTATTTGGAAATAGGGTCTTTGCAGATATAATTCAGGGTCTTGGGATGAATCCTGGATTTAGAGTGGGCCCTAAATCCAATAGGACAGGGTCCTTCTAAGAGGAAAATGCCACTCAAACACACAGGGAGGAAGACCGTGTGACAGCAGAGGCAGAGATTGGAATGATGCAGCTGCAAGCTAAGGAATGCCAAGGACTGATGACAACCACTTGAAGCTAGAAAGAAGCAAGGAAGGATTCTTCCCAGAAACTTCAAAGGAGCATGGACCTTCCTACAACTTGATTTTGGACTTTTAGTCTCCAGAGCAGTGAGAGAATACATTTTTGTTAGTTTAAACCACCCAGTGGTAATTTGTTATGGCAGCCTTAGGAGATTAATACAGCCTACAGTACCATGACCCAATATTTATACAGTATCATTAACTAAGGTCCATACTTCGTTCAGATTTCTTTAGTTTTTGTATAATGTCCATTTTCTGTTACAGGATCCCATCCAGGATACCACATTATATTTAGTTGTCATATTTAGTTGCCTTAGGTTTCTCCTGGCTGTGACAGTTTCTGAGACTTTGAGGGGGTAGTGGTCAGATATTTTGTAGAATGTCCTCCAATTGGGATTTGCCTGATGTGATTTTGGAATTAAGACAACCAAGGTAAAGTGCCATTTTAATCACATCATATCAAAGGTACATATTATCAACATTGTTATCACTGTTGATGTTAACCTTAATCATCTAAGGTAGTGTTTGCCAAGTTTCTTCATTGTGTAGTTTCCCTTTTTCCCCGTTTCCATACTGTAGTCTTTGGAATGTGGAGTTGTGCTCTACCTTCTTGAGGGCAGAGTATAACAAAAAAATTAATCTGTATTTGTGCAAATTTGTCTATTCGTATTTATTTATTCATTCAATTATTTATAGCAGTATGACTCATGGATATTTATGTTGTACTTTGAGTTATACTCCAATAATACTTCATTATTATTATTATTTTGTTAATATATTTTGAGCTTTGGTTATTAAGAGTTCCTTTGGTTGTCTCCTATGTCCCTTCTACATATCCCATTACTGTGGGATCTTTTTTTAAAAACAGGCTCATCTTGTATATTTCTTGCCCCAGTCCATAGAATCAGCCATTTATATAAGAAACCCTAGTTGCCTTTATTGGAGAATGTGATTAGAAACCAAGATCTAGGCATTCAGTGTACTTGTTGGTACCAGGGCATTGTTGCTTCCAGGCCTTCTCAGGTGACACAGCAAGGAAATATGTATGGTATACTAACTCCTGTAAATATTTCCATATGTAATCATCTATGTCTAAATTAAGCTAAACATGAGTTCATAATGATATCTTCAACTCTAATCCATTACCACATGATCATTCTAACCTCCTCTCTTGCTTTTCTTTTAAACTCCCAAACAGCGATAACCCTGGCTTCTACCATCTTCCATCCATTTACTTAACTGTTCAATTCCAGTGTAGAAGTATCAGAATTATTAACCCATATTTCTGTGGTATACAACTTCAGCAACTAAAGTACAGTGTTATGTACCATTTCTTTTGCCTTTACTTTTGTAGACTATATTCATTTCCAAAGCTACTAAGGTCAGCAACTTCCCCCAACCCCCTTCAGTGAGGTGGTTTCATACTTTTATAATACAGTTAGATTGTTTTGTTATATTCTGCATTCCATCCTGGGATTCCTCTTGATTTCCTAAATGATTTTTAAAAATTTACATACACAAAAATTCACTCTTTGTGCTCTAAAGTTCAGTAGGTTTTGACAAACGCATAATGTTATAGAGCCACAATTCCAGTATCATATAGAATAATTTCACCTCCCTAAAAAGTCACCTATGCCTGATTAAGTTTTATTTTGAAAAAACAATTATAGAAACCAAACTAACATACACCTGGGGACACTTTATCAAGAATTGATAAAGATTTTGTTTCAGATTTTTTAAAATAAAAGAAATTTAAAAAATAAGAAGTCCTTTTGTACTTTTTTCTAATTCCATTTCTCTTCTTTCTCTTTCAAGGGCAGTTACTGTTACAGATGCAGTCTTTCTAGTCCATGATTTTATACTTTAATAGATGTATTTGTGACACTAAACAATAAATACTATAGTTCTGCATGTTCTAGAGACATTTATATATGGGACACTATTTTGTATGCATCTTTCTAAAATTTGCTTATTATACTGTCAATAGTATGCTTCTAAGATCCATCTGTGGTTTATAATTTTTGGGCTTGAATAACCTTATAGTATTAGTTATATGACTATGCCATATTTTATTCATCTGTTTTTCTATTAATGGACATTTGGATTGGGCTTTGTTTTTTGCTATTTCATATGCTGTATGAACATCCTTGTACATATCTCTTCATGAAATGTATAAGAATTTTCTTAAAATATATAGCTGGAATTGAAATTACTGGGTCATAAGGCATGTACATTATTTCTTTTCCTGGAAACGGCCAGTTTGCCTCCAGTGTCGTTCTAGTAGTTTCCCCACATTCTCAGCATCAGTTAGAATTGCCAACTTTACATTTCTGCTAATCTGATGGGTATGAAAATTTGTCTTTCCCAGACTTTCAGGGGCTGTGGTACCAATCAACTCACTATCTAGGCCACTAGAAACACTTTTGATGGGAGTTGGGGTTTTTACACTAGAGATCATTTGTTAGTTTCTAATAGCTTTTTATTTTATTTTCAAAGGTGTCTGCTTATCCAGGATGTACGAAGTTGTTTTGGAATCTAACTCCACCCAAATTCTCTCTTCCAGTATCTGTTATGAAGGAAACTCTATATCCAAAATATGAGGTAACACACAGAATGACTTTTCTCTGTTGTTGTTTAATAATTAAATTGTATAATTGATAATGACATTAAATTGTACTGGACAGTTGCTGTGTAAATTGCCAGACAACTATTGCCATAACTGAGAATGACTGGATGATACTCTAGCATTGCACTTATCCATATTACTTTAGCCAGTCAAGAAGATTATTCTGTTTTCTTTTTGAAAAAATACTTTATTTGACTGAGGTTGCAAGATATAGAACTACTAAGGTTGTTTAGAAGATCTTCATGTCATTTTCATTTGCTTTTAAAGTGAACTTTTAGGGGCGCCTGGGTGGCTTAGTTGTTAAGCGCCCGCCTTATTTTTTTTTAAAAAATAAAGTGAACTCTTAGTTAATTTAATGTTAAAAAAAGCTTAGCATCACCCAATATGGTTATTGCTCTTTTTTCTTCTTCCCTTAAAGACTGTTTGCTCTCATTTTATGTTATATTGATTATTTTAAAGCTTAGAAAAATCAAGAGAAGAAAACCAAGTTCACTTATTATTCTTCTGCAGACAATTACTGTCTGCTTTTTTGGTCCATTTTCTTTCATTGTTAAAAATTTTTCTTCCTTTCTTAATCTCAGGAAACAAACTGAGGGTTGCTGGAGTGATGGGGGTTGGGAGGGATCGGGTGGCTGGGTGATAGACACTGGGGAGGGTATGTGCTATGGTGAGCGCTGTGAA